CACACACACACACACACACATACACATACACACGCACACATACATACACGCGCGCGTGCACGCACGCACGAACACACAAGCACACAAACACGCGCGCGCATAAACACGCTCACACGCATGTATCCAATACACCACATCGCCACCTTTCCTTCACACATTTCTTGGTTTTATTACTGCCCCCTCCCCATCATTGTTGATTTTAACGTTGCGGGAACGAGACTCCCCCGCTGGTATTCCACACGTTCTGCCTCGTCCTGCCGCGCATTTTGCTCACCTGCACACATTTCTTTCTCTAACCCTTGCCGACTGTGCCCATTGCGAGATGATGAGATTTCTGTGTGTCCGCTGGTCCAACTGATCCCAACCGAGTCCGTGTCCGATCCGATCCGATCCGATCCGATCCGATATGAAACATTGTTTTAGCCAGGATTTGCCAAGTATGCTGGTTGGAGTTTTGTTTTGGTTTATTTTTTCCCCTCCGAATTTCAGCAGCCAAGCTGCTTTACTCATAAGCTCATGTCAGTGCAAGATTTGAGGAAGCTCACTGCTTACAACTTTCCGGATGAAAAGGATGTATAGTTAGCCCTTTATGTATCATGCTGAACTGCGGAGCAGATGGACCTGGTTCGAATCTCCAACGGGGCGTTCTGAACTTGGGTTATTTGTTAATAAACATCAAATAAAAACATTTAAGCCAGAATCGAGCCTTGTTTGATCGGGTCCGGCCAACTGGATCTGACATGGACCAGTGCATCAGTGCAATGGGTAATTCGTAAGTGCACCACGCCTATCTCTGTGTTAATCCCCGTAGAAGGGCCCCGGATCGCGCGCGCGCTGATACTGTTGTGATGACGCACTACATGACGTCTGTGGGGAGCAGGTCTCGCCTTCTGGAAAGATACTGAGCTGAGTGAATGAGTGGCATTTGGGAGGGATATGGTGGTGCTGCTGTCTCTTGGTTGTTGTAATATACAAGTAGTAACATGTGGCGACATTTCGGCCGATTGAATAAAGTACGCTCACGGAGATTTTTTTTTTTTTTTTTTTTTTTGGGTATGCCTACGGGAAATGTTTTATTAACGTTTATAGTGAGTGGGCTTTAAAGAGTAAGCAAATCTTGGGTTCCCTTTTATTTTCTCCGTCGACCATTATTTTGTGTACATGTACTATGTACTTCCCGTACTGTATGCACCCCTTTCAATACAACTACAACGTACTTAATTTGATGATGCGTATGTGTTGACCAAGCCGTCTATTACTTGAAGCTGCGCACATCGGAAGCTTTACCGATATTATCTATTATCCAAGCGGCTGAAGATTTGAATGACAGTTGCCTACGCTGCATTCCCGAGCCTTTTCATTAGAACAAAAGGTGGAGCCTCAGTCCAGAATAGTGCGTAGCTTGAACAAGACAGTATTATATTAAGGGGGGCTGCACCTGGAGGCTATCTCGCTTATTACTGGACCGAATTTTACCAAATTTCACACATATAACAACCACAGTAAGGAGTCTTAAAATCCGCAATCAAATTTGAGAAAAAAGTTTATTTTCCATGGATACGCCGCCATATTGGATTTTATTGACATGTCTTACGTAATGAATACCGCACTTATCGCTCATGGAAATTGATTGTTTTTTGCATGCGTGTTCACAAACATTAGATCTAAAAATTCGTGTGTTGTTTTTTTCCTAATCGAATTAGAAAATTTTTAATAAATTTTTTCCTGAGGTAGCATTCCAGTTTGCGAAAAATCCGTGAAAATCCACATTCCAGACACCACCAACAAAAATCTATTCCATATATCAAAAATTCAACAGACAAATTTTTAGTATTACGTCTTCTCTTCATTCTGTGAAAATTTCATGAAGATTGGATGAAAAATGGGGGAGTTATTCAAATTAGTATAAAAGTCGCGTTTTGAGAAAACGGCTGATAAAGAAAAATAAAATACTGACTTTATGAGGAAATGGCGGTTACAAACATGCCCGGTATGGGAAAAAATACGGTTTTTGGGGTTCTTATGCTATGAAATAGTTGTAGGAGAGGCTGAGGAAGCTAAAAATGCCTACAACTCAAATTCCATGATTTTGAGCCGAATTTTGATTTTGGGGGTGTCGCCCCCCCCCCCCCCCCCTCTTAAGGTGTGTACACTAGTGCGAAATTTTCCCATTTCGGCAGGATCTGCAGAATGACAGAGAGAGCTAGGCTGATTTCCTTGATTTGAAGCCAGATTTGAACAGTGCAAGTCGATCGCTTCAAGTCAAGCGGCTTAGAGTGAAACAACTCTGAAGAAATCATTTCGGGCTAAAATTAAATTTAGATTGGACTTAACGGTCTCTTAAAGGGATTATTTACCCAGGACTTTCGTAGTCTTCGAGTCGTTATTCCTTTCATGTGAGGAACGTAAAGTCCGATTGTTCATTGGGGGTCAAGACCGCTGATCGTCTATATTAACTAGTCATTATTGTGGACCTAATTGCGAGTCTTATCATAAAGAGGGGAATTTTGTTGAGGGCCGTTTCTGTTCGGATCCGAGCCTGCACACGTGACTTGCTGAAAAAAAGAAGTTGATCTCGCTTTAGAATAATAGAACTTCAATAAAAGCTATGGTTTCTATGCTTAACTTTTGTGACTCTAACAAAGTTACCTACTCGTGCACCCCGCTGTGCAACGAGTGAACGACTCTGTTATCACTTGGCTTTAACGTTGGAGTGGTGTTTATCAGTTATTGGGTGTCTGCAGCTTGGTGCCGGCTCCTCGCTCCCCCGTGCCGTTATCTCACTGTATGGCACTCACGCTCAGAGCAAATGACATGAAGCGCGCGTGCCTGGATGTGTAGTCAGTGGGAGTGGGAGCCTTCTTGTTGTGGTTTTTTAGGGTAGCTTTTTTACATTATTTATCTTTTTGGGGGTTTGGGGTTAGTGGGTTTTTGACGTGTGTTTCTCTGTTTGGAAGGGGGAAACAGGGAAGGGAAGATTACCTGGATAAGCGGAACTTCATATGAGCGCTTTTGTTTTCTTTTTGTTCTGTTTTCTTCTCTTCTTGATATTTTTAAAGGGTTTTTGGCAGAGCGGAGTGGGGTTCTGCTAATAGGTCTCTTTTCTATCTTAATTAGTAGATAACGTTACATTTCCTGTGTTGTGTACATTGGGTTCTTTGTATTTAAAACTGAAAGGAGAATCGCGTACCAGCGCTTGTTGTGTAACGGTTAGGCTCTGCACTGCTGCACGCAGAAGGCGCGAGTTCGATTCCCAAGTGAGGCAGTTTTTTGTTTGTTTGTTTGTTTGTTTTTGTTCTGGTTTTTTTAAACTTGGTGTCTCCATCTGTCTGCTGTGGTACTGTATCCCACTCTGCCTGGGTTAGCCCTCCTAAGCTGGGTCGAAGAAGCTCGCCCCCAAATTGATCTCATTTGTGTCAATGGAGGCATGCAATATTTACAATAATGAAAGGGCGAATAGATACAACACAAAAAAACCCCAAAAAGCAAAGCAAACCCCTCCCCCCCCCCCCAAAAAAAAACGACCAAAAAAACAACAAAACAAACAAGTCCAGCTTCCGAATTCCTTAACGATACAAAATTGCAACAACAACTGAAAAACATTGGTGTGACATTTTGTTATCGATTAGAAAGTCTCTTTGCTTGACTGTGAAGGACCACAAATGATTGATGGGCCTTCCCTTATCATCTTCAACTTTTACTTTTTGCTTATGTTTCTATAGCCGGACGTATTGTGTCGCTGTGCTCTTCTTTATTGAAGCCTAACTATAACTTTTTTTCTGTTCCTCTCAGCTTCCTTCTACGGGGAGAGTTACGTGTTCACGCCGGTGCGCGAGGCGAGCAGCTCCAACTCCGTGTCGCTCCAGTTCCGCTCGCACCGGCCACAGGGCCTACTCCTGCTGGCCGCTGGGCAGACAGACTACGTGGTGGTCCAGCTCAACGCGGGGATAGTCGAGACGCGCGTCAACCTGGGCTCTGGCGAGGCCGTGACGTTCTCGGCCCGCGGGGTCCGCCTAGACGACTCACGCTGGCATGAGGTGCTGGTCAACCGGACACTGGACACCGTCTATCTGGCGGTGGACGGGATTGACGCAGGTCAGGCCACCACGCCAGGGACATATCATGATCTCAACATAGACCTCGGTGTGCTGCTGGGGGGCACAGGGAATTTAAAGGAAGAGTTCTACAGAGGGGCTAAATCCTTTAGGGGCTGTCTCAGGAGTGTCTTCTTCAACGGCCACGATATCCTGAAGGAAGCAAAAGAGCTGAAGAGTGCCCAGAATGCCTTTCAGGTGGCCTGGCACTGTGACGATGAATTCACTGCTTCGTCAAATTCGCCCATAAGCCTTTCCTCTGATACGTCTTTTGTTGCGTTTCCTCACTTAAGAATTTATCCTCAGTCAGATGGTGGAGTTTTCTCTTGTGAAGTAAAAACCCGATCACCAGATGCCGTGATTTTGTTCAATTCTGGTCAAGGTGCAGCATGGGAAGATTTCATAGCTGTAGAATTAGTGGATGGCAGGCCAAAGTTGTCTATAGACAAAGGTAGTGGGGTGATAGAGGTGTGGCTGGACTATCCGGTGAGTGATGGCAAGTGGCACAAGCTGGAGGTGAGTGTGTCAGAGACTGTCGCTGAACTGCAGATAGACACCGAGAAGAACTTGACCAGGTTTCATCTGGGAGGCCAGAACTACTTAAACTTGGCTGGTCATGTATACCTTGGAGGTGTTGGCTTTAAAACAAGATCTCATGCCATCAGGTTAGGCTTGGTGTCCCTGCTTGGGAAGTCAGCGATGAAGGGTTCCATGGTTGGCTGTCTGAGAAATATCATGATGAATTCCCGTACTTTTGGCTTCCACCAGATTGAGGTGTCTCGTCTCATAGACCCAGATTGTGCCTGGGAGTTCCCTTGTTCACAAGACCCGTGTCTGCCTGGTGCCCAGTGCACAGAACTAGAGGGAACTGATTTCAGGTGTGACTGTGGAGAACAAGTATGTGTTAAGGATACATTCCGCTCAGATTTTGACGACTGGAATGAGGATACGAGAGGCATCGTTTCTGTCAGTGAATTGAAAGTGGTGAAAGGTGGTGTTGTGGTCATCAACCAGGAAGTGATCCAGCTCAACAGGGCTCTGTTCAGCAATGGACTGACAGAGGAGCATGTTGTGTTCACAGTGAAAGACAGGCCAAAGAGTGGTTCAATAGAAATAAAAAATAGCAGAGGCAGTCATAGTGCAAACACATTTACTCTGAGAGAACTTACTAGTAACTCTATTGTGTACAGACATTACGGTGGTGAAGAAGAGATTGACAGCTTTACTATTGAATTGACTTTTAACTCTTTGCTTCATAGGCAAGAAGCAAAGCTGAAAGACAAGTATGAGTTTGTTGTGCCTGTGAGAGTACAGGCACCTAAAAGTAGTAACTTAGAAGTGGTTCTAAGTTATGGTAATATTATTTCGGTGACACCTGGTGCTAAGATTAGGATTACACCAGCCATTCTCAATGTCCCCTCATCTGACATTGATAGTTCCAAACTCAGATTCGTCATCAACTACCTACGTCAGGCCAGGAGCATGTTTGAGAGGTCTGATGAACCCAAAATATCTGTGACATCCTTCACACTGAAGGACGTTCAAGATGGATACATCTGGTTTCAGCATAATGGGGATAGAATCGTATACACAAAGGTCAATGTCACTGATGGCGTTTCTGTCAGTGAATCAGCCGACTTTCGTTTTAAAGAGGAAGAGCTGCAGGTGAGCATAGCTAACAACACGGGTATCACTCTAAGCTATGGGAGTCACAGGCTTATCACAAACTTTAACCTCAGTGCTGTCACTAACGCTCCTCTGGAAGACATAGAGCTGAGGTACCACATCACTAAACCTCCTGCTTACGGCACCCTACAGCGCATGGAGCATCAGTCCTCTAAGTGGGTAGATGTTGAGACATTCAGTCAAAGGCATCTCAATTCAGGCAGAATTCGCTACCTACATTTACCAAGTTCAAAGATTTCTAACTATGATAATTTCAAATTTGAAGTATCTGCCCAAGATGTCAAGAAAGAATCTTTGGGCTTCCAGATTCAGTTCAAAACGGTTGTCCTCAGTGTAGAGCACAGCTCCAATCTAGTTTTGTCAAAGACATCTTTTGGGAAGTTCTCAAACACCTCACTGTCTGTGATTTCCAATGCAGAAAATCTGGATTTTCAGAAGATTGTTTACATGATGTTACGACCTCCTCAGAAAGGAGATCTATATTTGATCCCTCAGGACGTCACCAACCCAGTGATCTTTTCTCAGGTTTCCCCGCTCAAAACTGATGACAATTTCACCCAACAGGATGTGAACAATGGTCATGTCTATTACAAGTTCAACAAACCAGGGTTTGAGAAGGTTAATGATTTTGCAGATCTCCAGGCAGCGTATTACGGCTTTATCATCATGGTGCGCCCTAGGATATTGTACACCCCCGAATCGAGCACCTCTGTCCAGATGGTGAACAATGGGCTGCTGGGAGTGCCAGAAGGTGGAAGTGCACTGATCACAGAGCGCGATTTGTCTGTGAAGATGGACAAGTTTAAAAGATTCACTCTCTCAATCATCAACTATCCAAGCCATGGGCACATTGAAATTGTGAATCCAGATACAGGAAAAATTGAGCGTGGAAATGCTTCTTTTTTCACTATGTCAGAAATCAGTGCCAAAAAAGTTTTGTATAAGCATGACGATTCTGAAAATCAAAGTGACTTTTTTACATTTTCTTCTAGTATTGTTTTCGATGATTCTCAGTCCAGCCTGCCTGATGAGATTCAGGAGTTTTCTGGGACTTTTCATATAGCAATGAAAATGATTAATGACAATGCCCCGGTGAGATCTGTCAGCAAGATATTTAAAGTAGCCAGTGGTCAGAGTAAAGTGTTGAGCATTAAAGATCTAGCATTCACTGACCCAGACATAGACTTTGATGATTCTTTACTTAGCTACCATCGACAGCCTATACCTAATGGTGACATTATCAATGCAGGTACCAAGGTATCTGTCTACAACTTCACACAGAGTGATCTTATCAAAGGAAATCTGATATTCCAGCATAAAGGTAACAGTTACACTCGCACACCAATCTCAGTCTCAGATGGCCAGTTCATTACTACAAGTATATTTGAAATCCAGGCATCGTCACCTTATGTGATGGCTGGCAATAACACAGGTGTTACCGTTCTACAAGGGAAACTGGCTCTGATAACACCCTACAACCTTAGCATCGAGACCAACATGGATTTTGATGAACAGGACGCGACATTCCAACTTGTGCAAGAACCTGAGCATGGCCAGCTGCGTGTCAGCGGTCGGCAGGTACTGAGATTTTCGTACCGAGATGTTCTCCGTGGTCTGGTGAGATATTGGCATGATGGCACTATGGAAATGGATGATAAGTTCACATTCACTGTGAGCATCAACTCATTTAAGTCCCCTGTCACTACCTTCAAGATCACAGTTGAGGTGGAGGGAGTCAATGAACCCCCACAGATCGTTCACAATGGCCTATTACGTGTGCTGGCCTACCAGACCAAAGCCATTAGCAAAGATATCCTCCAGGTGTCCCACAAGGGATATGAGCCCTGGGAGATTGAATACATTATCACCAGACTTCCCCAATATGGACACCTCATCATTGGTGGGAAAACGGTCAAGCAGGGTGAAGCACCTGAGTTCAACCAGGCGGATATAAATGCCGGACGTGTGCAGTATGCCTCAGAGTCTCCCTCACAACTCTCGGACACAATGGTCTTTGATGTAGGCACAGACGTACAAAGTCTACGGCACATAGAATTTCTTATAGAAATCGTTCCTCTAACATTACCGCAGAACAAAGCAAATGCCACAGTCATGGAGGGGGGCAGTATTGTTCTATTGATGAAAACATTGGCTTTGAAAGGCAGGCTGGCGCAAAACCGAGAAGTGAGGTTCACAGTGGAGAGAGCCCCGGTCCATGGACGAGTTGTGCTCAGGTCAGGCAGTAGGGATACACACGTCAGTAAGTTCTCATACAGTGATATATCCAGAGGAAGGGTCCATTACGTTCATGATGGCAGCGAGAGCCTGTCGGATGAGATGGCCATCAAAACAGAAGTGCCTGATGCAAGTACTGTTAGCCAAGTAACGACCTTGTACCTGAAGGTCACCTCTGTAGATGACCAACCACCACGCATTGTGGTCAATACTGGACTTGATGTGTGGACTGGGTCAATTACTCTTCTCACCAATGAGCATTTGCAGGTAAGTAAATAAGTTCTGTACTTAATGTCTTATTTCAGCTAGGGGAATGTACTTTGAGCTTTTTATGTGTTTTATGCATACGTATTATAGTTTGTTTTGAAAACTATTTGTTGCTGAAGTACAGTTTGGTGAAATGAGAATATCCACTTTTTATCATAATAATTCTGTATTGGTTCATAATTGTGCTTTTTTTCTGTGTGGAAGGATGTCAGATAGAAATATCAAAGTGCGAACTCAATGTGTACTGGCACTAAAATGAAAGTGTATTTGTGTAATATGTGTGTTGCAAGCCCTGAAGTGTGCATGTTGAGTCTTTTTCTCTTAGACAGCATGCTTAACTGATGACATGCATTGTTAGGAATAGTGGTGATTTAATGATTTATGTTTTTACTATTATCACAAACATTGCACTATTGTTGATTATTAATGGAAATATTCTTCTTCTTTTTGACATGATTATTATTGTTATTAATGTTGTTGTTAGCATTTTTGTTCGTATTGTTGAAATATTTTTTATCGTCTTATTTTACCAGTTTGCTGCAGGATAAGGAGTTGATTATTGATGGGGTTGTGGAGTAATCATTTTTACTCGACTAGAAAAGGATGCACATGTTTGTGTGTGTGTGTGTGTGTGTGTGTGTGTGTGTGTGTGTGTGTGTGTGTGTGTGTATGTCTGTGTGTATGTGTAATTGCAAGTAATTTTCTGTCTGTGTTTGTTTTCTTTGTGTGTGATTTTTTATAATTATAATAATTTTATTTGGGTAAAAGAGAATATATGCCAAAAATTTTGTTCAATTAGAGCCTTCAAAGGTTTTTGTCTGCAAAACCATCTTACATTAATGATGTCCTGCTCTTTTATTGCAGGCCTCCGACTCTGACTCTACTAGTAGCCAGGTTGAGTTTCGAGTGACGGCCCCCACCAATGGTCACTTGGCCTTCCTGAACAACACCTTCAAGCATATCCTGAGATTCACACAGAGGGACATAGACAGTGGTCAGCTGGTATTTGTTCACAAAGGTAAACTGATTTTTAGCTGCCTTCTTCTTTTTTTCGATGTTGTGCTGAAAAGACTGAAAAGACAAAACAATGTTTAAAAATTAAAAACATAAAAAATGTGATGCTTTTGAGACCATTTTCTAGTAAATTATCTTGACAACACAAAAGTAAGGATGCTTAAATCGTAACAAGGCTATGTTTTTATACCTGTTTTTATGCAACTGATTCCAGTGTAGGTGGGATTCACCACCTTGTCTTTCCAGACAGGGAAGGAAGTCTTGAAGATCTGTATGGGCTCTTTAGACTTGTTTAAGACACCTTGGCTGGCGAAAGTCATAGACAACCAGTATGCCCTGGCCTGCTGTCTGGGCAAGATTTTAAATAAATGAAATTGGACCTCTTTTATTTGCCCTTTAAACTAAGTAACGTTATTCACTTCTTTTCAAACAGGTAATGAAAATGGGGAGTTCCAGTTTCAAGCCACAGATGGAAGGAACAAAGATGACTACAAAATTTTCCGGATTCGAGCTCGCCCTGTCCAGTTGTCTGTGATGGTGAATGAAACCGTGAAAGCCTTCCCCAGAACTTTAGAACTTATCAGTAACCGGACGCTCCTGGTCAAGACGTCTGCTGAGAACTTCTCTCAGCCGATTGTCTTCACTGTGGTTGAGCCACGCCCGAGAAAAGGCCGCTTGGTGACAGTGGTTGGTGCCCAAACTCTTGACATCAACTCCTTTACCCAAGAAGAGGTAAATGAGGGAAAAGTTTTCTTTCTTCCCACAAGTCACCCGAAGGACTGGAGTGATGGAGAGGGGATTTACTTTGAAATATCCACCACCTATGCTCAGCCGCTAAAAAAGAAGATGCTACAAATCAGTATTTCTTTTTCAAATCTTCACCAAGGAAATTACAGGCGCGTGTTGAAAGTCATTGAGCCAGTGGTGGCTGAAGGTGAGCAGGTTACAATATCAGCTGACCTCTTTAACTCATCAAAGATGCTCGAGTCCTTGAATGCCTACAAGGAAGACATCAGAGTAGAATTCTCCTTTGTTGCATCTGTTCACAATGGTTACTTGTGGTTCAGGGATATGACTGCGGAGATGGGGGATACCTTCACTCAAGAGGATCTGAACAAGGGCTCCCTGGTTTACAAACATGATCACTCAGATACAGTGTATGACTGGTTCCAGTTTGGAGTGATGATGTTAGTGCCACGTTCTGTGTCAGAGGCCACAGCGTCCATGTACCAAGTATTTAACTTTACGGTGGACATAGAGCCCTTGAATGATGCGCCTTTTGAACTCCTCACCAGACACCCAAAAATTATTGTCAAACAAGGGTCGGAAGTCACCTTGAATAGCTTCAATCTGAGTACAGTAGATCTTGACACTGGCCCTGAAGGCATTGTATACATCATCTTAACTCAGCCGGACAATGGAATGTTTGTGAAAAAGTCTCAGCCGCTTGTACGGTTGACAGCATTTACTCAAAAAGACATTGATGATGGAGACATTATATTCAAACATGACGGTACACGCAAGGCTAGTAGCTCTATGTACTTCAAGGTATGGGATACGGTGTTTGACCCTTGGTTTGCCAACATGGACATTTTTGTCACAGCTTTAGAAATTGAGGTAGCTTCAGATAGGATGGTGCCTCTAATTCAGGGTAGCCGCTCAGTAACTCTGTCTAGCCCGCACCTGAAGGTGACTACAAATGGAGATCCTGACACGCTTGTATACAAAGTGATTCAAGCTCCTCAGTTTGGCAAGCTCAGAAAGTCTGGTGTTCAAGTCACAGATTTCACTCAACTGGATTTGGAGTCTGGTGCATTGGTGTACACTCAGAACACTGATTCTCCGGGAGAGGACTTCTTTGTTTGCAACATCGCCTTGCTTAACCAGGACTGTCACAAAGATGCTGTGCAGTTTGATATCATCATGAAGCCATTGGTGAGGCAGGGACCACTTCTGTCTTCTCCTGGATCTCACGTGGCAATCACACGTGCCAGCCTTGATGCCAGCGAGTTGGCCCAGATCACCAACGACAATCCCCGCTTTGAAATCTCTTCTCCGCCGGAACACGGCAAGATCATGAAGAAAAATCGAATGCGGAAAAGATCAGTGGATTCTCAGGAGAACTTTACCCCTGTGTCAGAGTTTACCTTTGAGGACGTTCTGTACACCAGGGTCTATTATGTTGCTAGTCAGGGTGGGGCGAAACAGGACAGCTTTAAGTACAAGCTAACAGCAGCAGGAGTGCCACCAGCAGAGGGGGAACTTGTCATCCAGCTGGAGCCTCTAGATGATAAGGACCAAATGGAAACTGATATCAGTGGGCAAGGGGAAGAGACCCCAATTTCCCCTGAACATGACTCTGATGATACCGGGGTTTCAGAACGAGGGGATGATGATGAAGAGAAGGACAGTGCAGGTCAAGGCAAAGTCAGTGGCGCTTCTGTGGGCTCAGATGACGGAAATACTAACGTGATTATCATCGCCACTGTGGTTTCTTTACTGACCATTCTTGTTGTTGTCGTGGTCCTCGTGATCTTGTTCCTGCGTCGGCGCAAGCAGAAGCGCTCGGGGTCCATGGAGGAAGAGAAGCAGTACAAGCCACGCCCGTACATCAGTGGACCATTGCAGCTTGACCAACCTCACGTGCTGATAGAGCCGAAACACGATGACACGTCCTTGACCCCGATGAGTGCGGAGGACGCAGCATTAGTGGAACCATTTGAGGAGAACACTTACATGAACACATCGCTGGTCAGCCCCCAGTACAGTGACCGACCAACCACGTCTTTAGGGTACCGGCCAGGAACTCCACCAGGCTCCCCGGACGTCACTCAGGTGAGTTGTTCAGGTGTTACCAGCCACTGTTGGAAAGTTTTGATCTGATGACATGATAATAATAATGAAGATAATTGTTATAGTACCCACTCCTGTGTGCACACAATTCTAGGTGGTTTACATAAATGTAAGTACAAGATATGTTCAAGTTAGTCTTAGCTCACTGGACCTAGTAAATGATACAAAAGAACAAACCATATTTTAAGTTCAATTATGTGATAGCAGGGTGTTGAGAGAGTAATTTTTCTTTGAAATGCCTTTCATACTGTGCCTTTTATGCTGCTGATATTGTTTCAGATTGTCTTTACCTATCATCCCTTGCCATTTAGAACCACTTCTTTTACAGTTGTTTTAAGATTGTGTGACAGGTTCATCATGAATCTATATGGTTTAGGTTTTTAGAGTGAGAAAGGGCAATGTAAACTGCTTCTTTTCTGGTTCCCTTCATCTGTATTTCATGCCTTCTGTACCATTTCTATTATTTTAATCTTATGCTTAAGCCAATCCATTCTAATTTCTGGGACATTTTTCTTTTTCTCTCTTCGAATTCAGTCTGACCAGGCCTCAGAGGACATGGAGCGACGGTCTACCATGACCAGTGGCCGTGACTCCAATGCCAGCACTGACCTCATGGACTGGACGCTGATGGACCCTGACCTATTGCAGCATTGTCGCACTACCACTCCTGTTCTACGCAGTAACCAGTACTGGCTCTAGTTCCTCCCTCCCTTCCTGCACCCTCTCACAAGCTCTGAGCTAAAACTACTGTTCAGTTTTTCTGTGCTCCTCTGGAGTGGTCAACTGTAGGTTCTTTAGTTTTGAAGGTTTAAGACAAGTTTTATGGCACCTTCAGCACAGATAGGTCATATTAGTGCCTAAGATTAGAGGTGTGACTAGAGATGAACTCTTTGTGTACCACGACTTAACTGCATAACATAACTTTGTTGTGAAGAAAGACAGGGATGTATCGGTATCTGGAACAGAAAGGGTTAAGATACAAAGAAAAAGAATAGAGATAAGGATGATAGAAGGATGTCTTATAGGAAAAAAGGAGCAAACCACTCCAGAGCACCCACCAGCCACCCACCTAGGCTTGTTAACCCCCTGTGACAGTGATGTTATATTATATATGACCCATTTCCTATCATTGCTTAAACTGTTACTATTTTTCTGGAGATACTCCTGCGTCTTGACCAGTGTTTTTCTTCTGTAAAAGGTTTTAAAGTACGGTAACAAGCTCTTTTGTTTAAAGCTAAGACTCGAGAACTAATTTTTATTTATAAGATCAAGTCTCTCAATCACCAAAGAGACTAACCAGTTGTTGGTTTTTCCGGCGTGTTAGTTAAAGTTTTTACCTTCTCTTTGGACAGGACACCTCCTCTCCTTTGGGGACAGTATATTTTTACAAACTATTTTAATAACTAAAGTTCAGTGCATGGGATCCTTTGTCACAAACCTCAAATCTTTAAACAGTCACATTTCTATGTTGTCAGGTCTCTTTTCAGAGGATCTCTCTAAAAAGATGAAATTAGCTGAAGTAATAGTCTTTGGTAATTTGGATTTGTGAGCTGTATTCGTGTTCTCACTTTTGGCGGTATGATTTTGTCATTGGCAAAAAATAAGAAACTCTGATATTTTTTTTCTTGCCATGTAAACCAAAATCAGACAGTTAAACTGTTTTACTTTTAACATTAACGGAATATATAAGGGGTACATAGATGATGGTTGCTTTAGTTCAGTTACATAACAGTCAAGCCAACACAAATTCTGCGTGACTTACACATGGAGTGAGCTTGTTTCTCTTTCATTTTGGATTTCCCTTTTCAGTCCTGGCCCTTGTAAAGAGCACACATTTCTGGGGCTTTTAAAGATGACTCTGCGCCCATTAAGAAAAATAGTACCATCAACTATAGGGATTTTTAACAGAGAAAGTTATGGTTCTATTGTTATGTGCTTGTGGTGTTGTAAGTTTTTGAGAAAAAAATTTGATTAGATAGGTGGAAACCCTTCAATGAGAGGTATCGGGTCAGTGAACAGTATGAGAGTGAACAAGAAATTAAATTCAGGTGTCTGAAAGGCTTTGCTGTGATCTACTAACAGTTTTAGCATTTGTCAAATTATGCTGTTGAAGTCTCCATGCTAAAGTTTTCTTTTTATTAATTGGAATTTTTTTTTAAAATAGAAAAATGCCTTCCTGTTGATAGTGGTAAGCAAATGTAACCTTTTCTGGGAAGGGGGCAGGAGGAGGGGGAGAGAGAAGAACAACCTCCCTTCCCCCCCCCCCCCCCCCCCCCCCATTTTTTATAAAAGAATTGCTCGTCCCTAAGAAATGTTAGGAATCTCATTCATGTGTGTACATTTTCCGCAACTGTGAGAAGCTAGCTGATGGTTTGTTTCGTTCTTGTGAAATGTAGTATTTTAACATTTTTACCTGGGTTTTTTTTCATGTTCCACCAATTTGTTACTTGTGTTCATCTTCAGTTAAAGAGAAGGAGTCATGTCAAGTGTTCAAAGTTTATGATAGGTCAGTTCCATGTGGTTATGTGGGAATGTGAGGCTTCGTGATGAAATCAGGTGCTCGTCAAAATAATGAAATTGAAGAAAATGGCATTTCTCTGTCCGTTTGGCAATTTTCATCGAATTTTTATTTTTTGACTCAGCACCTTTAAGATCCATTTAAAAACATTTCTGTGTGTGGATTTTACTGAAACGTGTTAATTTAAGACACAAGAATATATACGTTTGCAGTTTCTAAGGACTCTCAAGCTTTGGAAGTCGCCAAACTTTGGCGGCCATTTTCTTGCTAATTTTACCTCTGGAACAAGGCGACCCCCACCTCCTTCAATCGCAAATATCTCTATATCAGTTCAGGACATTTGAGTATTTTTTCACCCAAAGCACGACAAGTGAACAAGCTTTGAAATGATACCATTAACTCAACATGCCCAAAAATTGACGAGCGCCTGATTCTTCCTTGTCGTGACACATATATATATCTTTTTAGGGCAATCGTTTTGTGGCTTTGCCAATCTCGTTTGCCATCTTTTTTAAACTTGAAACCAGTTGTGTTGAGGTAAAGAAAGTAAAAGAAGAAAGCTAAAGAGAGTGGAGTGGGGAGGAGGTGGAGGTGTAGATGAGGCGACTGGAGTAGAGAGAGGAAGTCTCTTTTCACATGTTTTTTATCAAGCTTTAAGTTACCATTTCTTGCTCGTGTTATGTATCTTTATTGAAATTGAAAGTTGGAACAGACTTTGTTTTGCTGATATAAAATGAGATTACCATTTTTTTGTGTTATAATGTACTGGTTATATGATTTTGATACCATAACTTACTTTACGAAGCTCAGTTTTGCAGCATATAGCATTTGGAAGAGTCATGCAGTTCTGAGACCATCCCAACATCATATGTATAAAAGAAGTCATCAATACAACATAAAATTATGACCTCCCTACCATTCCCTTATGTAAACGTGGCTTATGTCTCATGTCTTTCTGAGAGAAAACCACACAGGAACAATATCTTAAGTTCTGGGTCACATTTTGCCCCATTGTCTCATGCTTGAGGGTACAGTATCTGTCATTGCAAGATCCTTTTGTAGACACTTATCCTACATGTTCATCATACTACAGGGTGCTCGCACAAATTTTTGCCTGCGTTACAGAGTCCAAAAGTAAGCTTTATCATGGATATAAACTGGTTTGTCAGTCTTTTTATTTTGATGGCTTGGGCAGGTACTCGGAGGAAAAGAATGGGTTAGGTTTGTTTGGGTTTTTTGGCTTTCTTGTATAAACTTGCAATACTTGTTTCTAGTTGAAATTAGTGATTTTTCAAAGCACGTATAGACTGCTTAGTGTAAGACTTAGCCGTCCGCCATTTTGAATAGTGATGTATGACGAAGCTTTACACTGAGCAGCTAGTATGCTATTTGCTAGAGCATACGCTGCCTTCTGATGGACCAATTGCTATTGGTAGTTTACAGGGTGCAGCTGAGTTAGAACAAGTAATAATACTAAAGTATATTGTCCCATGACCTGACCAGTAACCTTTTATACTGCACTCAGTGATAGAGATGATTATCTCAAGTGTATGTCCTTCTAGTCGATTGATTTTGCATTTTCTTTACAAGACATATTTGCTGGAAATGCATATTTATGATCTATTCTCAAAGTTATAATTTGAATTATTCTTATAAAGATGGATGTATTTGGAAAATTTTATAATAATGTTAAGTTTCTATAATTTTGAATTTTCTGTTGGTTTATACTTTTGGTTGTTGTTTTGTTTAGTTTTGAAAAAAATTATATCTGTTCGGCTGTTTGCTAATATGTGATCATATTTTTTTATTTTTTTTTATTATTTTTTTAATTTTTTTTGTTAAAGGGGGCATTATAAGAACTGCTCTGCTTTTATTCAATGTATTTTTGGTAGAACATGCTTCTCTAGATCACAGTTACATACCATCAAATATATTTCCACACTATTGGCCAGTATACTTGGAACAATGTTGAAAGTTTGTTTCAAGTAAAAATTGTCCTTATGCCAACATAGTCCATCCACATCAGTTGGTTGTACCTTTAATCATTTAATTTTAAAAAAATTTTTTGCTCTTTTGATATTTTAAAAATTCTTTATAATATATTCTAAGGAAAATATACCTGGGTGCATGTACTTACCTCTGGTGTGTGTGTGTGTGTGTGTATGTTCGTATGTGCATGCCCGTCCATGCTACAAGCTTGGGCGTCAGGGAGGGAGAGAGTGATAGAGAGATACAAAGAGGGAGAGAGAGAGAGAGTGCACTTGTGTTTACTTAGAATATTTATTACATTGCTGTTATCTGAATGGGCTATGCATCATTTTGAAACTGAAATAATTTTTAATGGTTGTTCCTTTGTCTTCAGATATTATCGTTAAGACTTTTTAATTTATGCTTTAAAAATGTTGATTTTGTGGTGCTACAGTGGAACAAAGGAATCATTTTGTATAATTTGAGAGTGCTGTGTCAATGTTGTATGAATGCATGATGTGTGCTAAATTCTGTATCTTTCCTTAAGTGGAGCCGCTTTCTTGCAAGTGCAAATAACTTCAGGTTACTTGTGCTAGTTTACTCTTTAAAATTTTTATTTTCCTCTTTGGCACTTGAAGCTATGTGGCCCTAATGGAACAATAGAAGTGATATGTCATATACCATTCTGAACATAAATTTTAGTTAGTTTCAGTCTTTGTTGAAATATATCGTCTAGATAAATAGAGTAATGTTATATATCGTCTAGATAAATAGAGTAAAAATTCATGTGAGAGCGACGCGAAATTTGAGCTAAAGTGGTCTGTTTTTGGCAAGTTGAACATAGCCTGTCCTGTAAAATGACCTTTTACTTTACTTTTAGGAATCGACCCATCTGTATTTGACACCATAATTATGTTATGAAGTGGTTAGGTGCTTTGCTGTCACATGCAGGTGATCGGAGTTCGATTCCCGATTGGGGAGACAATTTTACAGTGTATCTCAGTCTTTCTGCTGGATTGTTAATCATCTCTCATCTGGGGTTTGGCCCGCCTCCAAAATGATCTAAATTGTGTCGGTGAGGGTGTAAAAGCACCCACGTATAAAAAACCCCCAGAAATTAACTAGCTGATAACATAAGAGTTTGTGACCAGGGGAGCATGTTTTTCTTACATCTTTTAAAGTAGACACAAAGTGAACAAATTTTTCTGAGATTATGGTTTGTCATTATTTTTAGATTATTAGTACTTTTGAATTTGATAGAGAATATTGTTATTTGTACCTGTTTTATTTCCTCTTATAAGTCAAGTCTAGAAATCCTCTGTATATACTATGACAATGAGTATTTTCATGTATTTATTACACACAATCCTTTTAGAATGAATCTATGTGTGTGACTTATGTATGCTTCATGTAGTGAAATATATATCTGATTATGAAGTGTGAGTTCAAGTCTTTCCCTTTCACCCTGTTATTGCTCACACTGTCCATTCTCAGCATGTTATGAGCTCACTGTTTGTTTTGTCCTGCCACTGAGATTGCCAACTGT